CAGCATAAACACAGACCAAGAAACAAGAAAAAAAATGATATATATAAAGAGACAGAGCCAACCTGCCTGGAACATAGGTGCATGCTGAGGCACAACGAGAAAGAGTTTGGTAAATTAAGTGGGATCTGCTCCCAACAGGCTGTTAAAATATTAAAATCAACAAATATTTAACTAGAAAGAGAACCTTAGAGATTTTCTAGTCAATCCTTTTATAACAGATGAGGAAATCTAGGATCCATAGAGATCCTAGACTAACATAATGCCAGAGGCAGTAAGTAGAACAAAACTCAGACTCTGATTTAGAAACTCCAGTTTGGTGATGGACCACATGGTATGACAGAGAAAGCACATCTGGCCAAGATTCTAAGGGAACATCAATACATAAGCTCTGCAAACATACATACAAGACAATATTCTGTCTTGGGAAATAGAAGAGACTGGTTTCCAGGGGTAATGGAATCCTACAGAGACAATACACTGTGTTTTGCCAGAAGGAATGACTTTCCAGAAAGGAGCAATCCAGAAAGAAAGAAGAGACAGAAGTTAGTTTTCAGAGGTTATAAAGGGAATCAGTGGATAAACAGCAAAAGCAGCACGTATCTGGCAAGAAAAGGACTGATCCACAGAACAAAAACTGTAGGACCAAGCAAATATTTAAGAGAAAAGAAATCGTAGTAAGTTTGAAGGTAAAAAGAAAGAAGTTCATATAAAGAGTAAGTGAGATGCTGGGTAAGGAGGATGAGGGAGCATGGTGAGCTATTTAGGGGACCAGCTGTAAGAAACTTTTTTTTAAAGATGACTTCCAGAATAAAAAATAAGCATTTTTTTATCACTTACCATAACAGACCCCTTGCCAAAAAAGTATTCATTTTCAAGACTTATAAAGCCTTATAAAAATGACATGTCGGGCCTTAAGAACAAAGCTAGGAGGTTTTGTTTTTTTTTTTTAAATCCAAAACAGTGTCCAAGTCTTACAAGTCTCTTGCTTCACAGACATTTGTCAATCATTTTAAACTGTGAGTTCTATGCCACATTCAAAGGACATTCTGATTAGCATTCAATTTACAACAACCAACATGGTATTACAAATAAAAATCAGAATTTTTTCTATAATATGTTCTTAAAAAAGGTAAGGCTTTTTTTTTTTTTTTAACTTTTTACAAACTATTTTTACTTGACTAAAAAACTATTTTTACTTTTACTTTTTACAAACTATTTCCTGATATGGAAAATATAAGTACTTAAATAAACATATTTATAAGAAATAATTTGGGGGCACAGTTTTTTCAATTTATTTAAAAAAAAAACTTAAAATACCCCGCTTTTCCTTACTCCCTTTCTGAAGCAAAGCTCTACAGAGAATGGGGGTGAGCATACAGAATTACGTGAGGTACATTAGAAGGTTCTCTCTGATTTTAAGTAACCTGGCTAGTAAGCCCCAATTTAAAGCTACACACTTAAAATTTGCTAATTTTGATTTAGAAACTTAGAATGCAGCCATCATAAAGGCAGGTGAAGGAGGAACAGAAGATTAAAAAGTCAGATCTGACTGTCCACCTTTATAACTGCCATTTCCCTAATCAAAGAGGTAATTACTTTTAAAACTGGTAAGAATCATTTAACGTAGACCACAACTATTATATCTAGGTGCTATACAAGGTTACAGGAATTTTATTGTACCCACTTGGAAACAAGGACTTGAGCTCAAAATGTCAAAATGGAACACCCCACTTCTTTTAACTAGATCTACACCAAGTTGCTGAGCAATATTCACCAGCGCACTGTACATAATCACCAAGGGCTAGTTACCCATTTCTGCTTTAATCAGCACGAACACTAAAAGTCCAACCAAAACACCAATGCGATTATAAACAGTTTTCATCTTTAGAGAGGCACAGGCGTTATGGCGCAACATACACATGTCTTAGCTGAAATAAAGAGCAGCAGCTTGATTCCTCTTGGCCCCATTGAAAGAAAGGACAGATAACTATCCAAATGTAAAAGTCTCAGAAATAATTGAAACATTTAAGACTCTTACACAATTATCTCTCACTACATGCAGGGCTTTTTCTCCCTTCAATAAAAATGTAAACTCTAGCTCCTAGCTATACTTACTAAGTTATTAAAACAAATCTTCCGAGTTACTTTTCAGAAAAAGTATCCCTGATGTCCAACATTGAATACCTCTCACACAGAGGCTCCTGTTACTTGGTGTGGGATGGGAAGTTGCTAAAAGTCATTTAACCTCTCTCTGCCTCAGTTTTCTCACTTTCTAACCTCAAGATGAACTCTAATTTGAATTAAACATTTATTACTTATATAATAAATCAGTGCATACCTTATGTTAAACACCGAAAACCCCTATATTTTACATCACAAAGTGAACGTTAACCTTGTGGAAGTAAAATGTGAGGAATAATTTGTCCTACCGTATCTCTTAATTACAATATAATATCTTCAAATGCTTCAAATTAAAACTCTTATGTCATTTTTTAATAGATGGTGTGGAGTTTGATTCAAATATACCCAACAAGCAAACAAGGAAGCCTACAGTCTTGACACCTGAGACAGGCTTTACTGGCTTTCCTGGGCATATAAACAAAATCACTTCTCTCTTTTAGTCTAGAGAATTATCTTTCTCTGTATGTGGTGGATAAACCCAGAGATGAACAGGTAAAAAGTGAAAAAATAACATTTAAAAATAGGGGCAAAAAAATTTTAATGAGAACAGTTGTGGCATTAAATCCTTTGAATTTCTGACCCAAGATTATGCTGGCCACAAGGTTCAGTTCTGGGGTTCTTCTGTTGCCTTTTAAATCCTTAAAATTACAGAGAAAATCTTTTCTATCAGGTGTTAAATCTAACAGTCTATCAATAACACAATCTAATACAAGCAGTAACACTTCACTCAGAAAGATTTACTAGTACAGTTAGTTTAGATGCTTTTTGGTCTGGAACCAAAAGGATGGGTGACACAACAACTTCAAGTCTCTGTTAGCTTCTTAATTCTGTTTTATCTATGTAGTGTCTCCTCAACTGTCTTCTCAGTTTCTCTGCCTTTTCCCAAATAAGTATCCTTCAGGTAGGTCAGAAACACTAGGAGTCCTGAAAGGAAATGTTCATGGATCAAATAAAGGAGTTCTCCCCTTCCGAAACTCAGGTTCCATAATCAGCTTTTTTGTTATAGCCAGTAAAAATAGACTGGCTCAATTTTAAAGAGTCTTTGTCACAGGAAGCCCATGGTAGAACTACAGTTGCAAAAAGGATCCCTTTAAACCACCCAATCACCAAAGGCAACACAAAGTTAAACTAATTCCCAGTGACAAAAGGCTAGATGTGCATTCATTCTGATCAGTCCTCGGATTGAGTGTGTGAAGCTCAAGGAATAAAATTGTAACAGGGTGGTCCCCAGGAAAGAGGGAGGTTCCCTGCCCCTCCCAAGGGAGGGTGGAGCTGAGCAGGAAGAGGAGAAGCTGCAGAAGAGACTAAGGAAGGAAGCAGGATGGAGCAAGGAGACCTGGAGGAGGCACATGGAGCCTAGAGACACGTGAAGAAACTGCGCTTGTCTTTTGGTCGTGGACTAGGTGACACAGATGTGGGTGAGACCCGTGGGGAGGTGACCATGGCAGCTTTTATCTTGATGTTGATTTTGCTCTTTTCCTTCCGGGCTTGTCTGGTTATTTCTGACCCTTTGCTGTGGGTCCCCACTGGAAGATGCTTTAGACTTGTGGCAGGCTTTGGGGCTTTGCTCTGGGCCAATCCCATATGGATGGACTTTTACCCACGAGGGGACGGGTAACTTTGGGTGCTTCATTTAGAAACTAGACTCTTTGCCTTACCTGTATTGTTTCCTAGTTTTATTAAAGTTCCTTCCCATTAAAGTCTCCTATGTTTTGTGTTGATGCGGCGGATGGCAGAACCCATTTAGAATGGCAGGTTTGCGGGGTTGGGCTGACCCTCTCCCTGTCCTATAACAAATGACACATCCCAAGCCATGAAACTTTTTTCCACCCCAAATATTCTCAATGAAAATTCTCTTGTCAACCAAGAGGTGAGAGTTTAAAACAACAAAACACTAGCAGAATAATCGGCTCCAGGACTACATCCCAGCTGTCTTTGCTCTCTGTTGTCAATGGCTCAGATGTAATTAGTTTCCCCACTTCCGTGCACCCTACTCCTCTTACTCCCCAAGATCCGCACTCAAGAAAGGCACATTTGCATTCTCAGACCTCTGGCAAAATAAAGGGGGAAAGTGCTATTATGTAGGAAGGAAAAAATACTTCAGAAGCAGGAGGGAACAAGAACCATGTTTCCACTGCAAAAGGCAACGTGAAAAAGCAAGTCTCATTTCTTCAGGATATTGGGGGGGAAGAAGCCCTTGTGGGGCATCAAAAAAGATGTGCAGTGTGTGCGCGCCTGGAGCTCTCGGGGCAAGCTGGACGAAGGAGCAGAAAGTAAGAAAACCTGTGCTGCCCCTGCTTTCTTCTACTCTTCCCCCTTCAAGGAGGAAGCTGAAGAAACTGGGGGAGGGGCGGGATGTTACCGTTCTATTGGGGGTACACAACACGGGCCTCGGGGCTCCTTCAGCCACTCACCCCCAGTCAGGAGGCCCACCGAGAGGAGAGGAACCCCTGATGTTACCCACCTCCGTTCAAAACAAAAAGGGGAGATGATTAAATCCAGATGGAGGCCCCCAGAAGGCGCCCCCAGGTCACTCATCCCTATTAGCAAGCGGAAGGGATGGGATAAAGAGGATGGAGGGTCGGAGGGGTGGTCTGGGAAAAGGCCCCACCCCTCGACTTAGGAGGGAAGGGGAGCCCAAGCTACCAGCCGTCCCCTCCTTCCCCGCACCTCCCCACTAGGCCACCCCCACTTATCCCCCCTTCCTTTCCTCCAGTGCCAGAGGCAGCCATGGGGGAGGCGGCCGCTCCTTCCTCCCCGCACCCACTCCGTCCCCACCCCACCCCGCTCCCACCTCCCGCCCGCCACGGCCCCGTTACCTGCTCGTCGAAGCGGCTGACCACGGCCTGGACCCATTCCACCGGCCTGTGCGCGGCATGTCCTCCCGCGGCCGGGGGCGGCGGAGGGACCGGTCGGCCGGCGCCCAGGGCCGGGAAGAGGGCGGGGAGCGGGGGCTGAGGTGAGGGAAGAGGCGAGGAGAGGGTCTGAGGAGTGCAGGCTCCGAACGTTCCCACGGGGGTGGGGATGGGGGGCCTGCGCCGAGCTGGGAGGGGGAGAGGGGAAGGGGGCGTTGGCGAGGAGGCTGGGGGGGAGGGGGACGGGGAGGGGGACCCGGGGAGGGGAGGGGGCCCTCTTGGTCGGTCTCCCCACTAGCGCCGTCTCCCCACAGCCATCACAGCCCGAGACGCCGCCATGACACCCCACCGGAAGTGGGATCCTTTCCACGGCCCGGGGAGAGGGAGAGCGAGCGAGCTAGAGATTGAGAGCGCGGCTGGGAAACGGGAGGGGGAAGCGAGAGGGAAGGGGACCTGCCGCGCATGCGCCCGCGCCGGCCGGTTTCATTAATGAAAAAGCGAGTCCTCCTGGAGGTGACGTCACCTAGCTCCGCCGGGCCCGCGGGCGCGCGTCCCACTTTGCCACCGGGCTCGCGTCCACTCTGGCTCTAAGTTCAGCCCGCGGGAGTCGGAGCTGACTCGGGAGGCTCTGCTCTCACCCCCACCGCCGCTTCAGACTCCCCCTCCCCCGCGGGCCTCTGGGTTTGGATTGCTCCCCTGGTTGGAAGTTAGGGCGCCCCGGGGCTAGCATTTCTCCCAGCGCACTGATCTCTGCCGCTAAGCTGGAGAGGCTGTGCCCGAGCCCTTCTGTGCCTTAAGCTTTCTCAAAAAGTAAGGCACACAACCTCAGGTTTCCAGAGCCATCCTAGCTACTATAGACTGCTGAGAAACTGGTGAAAGTAAGGCCAAGAAAAATTCAGTGATTTTTTTCTTTTTAACGGTGTCAAATGCAGTCAAATCTGAACCCCCGTCCAGGCTTACTCTGCTGAATGATAGGAACCCAAGTTAAAACTTTGGCATAGTTGATAATAGGTTCAAGTTTCACCATCCTCAAAAAGCTTTTCGGGTCTTCACATGCATCATTATTAATTCAACACATTCATCATCTCATTTGAATATTTCAATAGGCCTTTCATTATCCACTCCCACTGATGAGGTACTAAGATCTGCCCAGAGTCATAGAGTTAAGTGGCAGAATCAGGGTGCAAACCCCAGAGAGTCAGTGGGCCTCTTGAAACAAGGGTTCACCCTATGCCCCCAATACCTAAATTTATCTTCCACAATACACTTTAGGCTAATGTGAAAATGAATTTACACATTCAGAGCATAATTAACAACCAGGTTACAGAAGATGCTTAACTGGCTGACAAAGTGGAGCAAAATCAAAATGTAAATTTTACCACAGAAAATCCGCAAACCCGATAGCTCATATACAAAAAGGTAAGCCCTGAGAGAAATTTCTAGTCTCTGCTGGCTGGTGAGTGTCCAAAATACATATTAAATTAATTAATATTTCATTCTACTAGAACAAGAGGACAGGGTCTGGATAATTCTTTAACCTATTTTTTAGGAATGCAACATGGCCAGTGACTAATTTCTTTTGGATGATGTCAAAAATGATGACAATGCTGAAGAAAGGGATAAATATTAAATAAATGTCCATCTATGCCTTCCGCAATTAAGACCTCTGAAAGAGCTCTCACTCTTACCCCCAAAGAATGACCTAATACCTCTACTTCCTGCTAAACTTACAGACCCAAAAATCTCCTTTTTCAGATACTTTCTCTGAAAGTCCTTAATTATTTTCTTTTTTTTTTTTTTAGATTTATTTATTTATTTATACAAGCACTGGGTACAGTCAGAAACGCGGGAGGGTGAGAGAATTCACCAGAGCCAGAATGGGGAGCACAACAGGCAGACTGACAAAGTACACTGCTGAGGGGAGCAGCATGTGTGGCAGGAGAGGTCTGCACGCCATGTGGGACCGGGGATGGAGCCAGCGCTGCAGGGGTTGCAGGCAGCTTCTCAGCCCAGCGCTCAACCACTGCGCCACCAGGGGAGGCCCTCCTTAATTATTTTCTTCTAGCCATGGTTTTTTGCCTATCTTTTCCCCATATCTCTTAAGTTTACCTAGACTGGCTGCAACGGCCCAAATTCTAGGGTTCCACCCTTTGACGTTTCTTTCTGCTCTGCTTCTCTTTCCTGTTCTTCTGTGGTTTCTTCCCTGATTCTTCACTCCTCTTTAATCTATGGTAAGTCATGGAACTTCAGAGCTTGGTCCTCTGCTCTTGCTTCAGTAGTCATTAATTCATCCTAACCTGCACTTGCCTCTCCTGAGGTCAAGCCTCTCACTACCCTTGTATTCTAACCTTCATTCCAGCTTCCTTCCAGTTAAATTCATTCAGTTCCACTGAACCAATATTAAGTACCAAAGCACTTATTATATATATGATGCACTGTAGGTAGTATAGGAAAGCAGGAATTCTAAACAAAAATGCCAAAGAGGGGCCACCCCAGTGGTACAAGGGGTTAAGTCTCAGCGCTATGAAGCTATCTGCAGCTAGAGTTCCATCCCCAGCCAGGTAGCTAACCCACATGGTGGGAAGACCTCTCCTGTATCGCCTGCTGCTCCCCTCAGCAGTGTATTTCAGTCAGTCCACCTGTTCTGCTCCCCTCTCTGTCTCTGGTGAATCCTCTCACCACCACCACCACCCCACCTCTGGCTTACACCCCAGTTCTTGTATGCATAAGTAAATAAATCTTTAAAATAAAAATAAAGGGGCAGCTATCACTCAACTGTCAATTAATACCATGCAGGAATGTTGACAGTGTTGCTAAATCTTCCAGTTACTCAAGTTGGAGATCTGAACTTACTATAAGCTCTTCTAAATTTTACCTAGGGCCTCCCCAGTGGCGCAGCAGTTGAGCGCTGGGATGCTGCGAAGCTGTCTGCAGCCTCTGCCGCACCGGTTCCATCCCCGGGCCAGTGAGGGTCCCACATGGCACGCAGACCTCTCCTGCCCCACCCGCTGTTCCCCTCAGCAGTGTATTTCGTCAGTCTGCCTGTTCTATTCCCTGCTCTGGCTCTGGTGAATTCTCTTACCTTCCTGCGCTTCTGACTGTACCCAGTGCTTGTATAAATAAATACATCTTTTAAAAATAAATAAATAAATAATTTTTACTTAGTGGCAGCCAATTCACATTTTCAAAAACACTGTGTAGCCCAACCAAATATGTCTGCTACCTGAATTATCACAGATAAAGCATCAGCGTGACTAGCTCTAGTTCACTGGGGAGATAACAACAGGCTTGTATCCTAACATGCCCCATTCCACACTGTCCAACACAAGTTAAAGTTTGGTGTAGTTTTATTTATTTATTTTTAAAGATTTATTTATTCATGCATACAAGAACTGGGGTACAGGCCAGAGGTGTGGGAGGTGAGAGGATTCACCAGAGACAGAGTGGGGAGCAGAACGGGCAGATCTACAGAAACACACTGCTGAGGGGAGCAGTGGGCGAGATAGGAGAGGTCTGCTGTGCCATGTGGGTAGCTCCCTGGCCAGCCGGGGATCTAAAGCAAGATGCAAAGGCTGTGGATAGCTTCACAATGCTTTGCTCCCTGCGCCACCAGGGAGGCCCTATTTATTTTTTAAAATAGATTTATTTATTTTTGCATTTAAGATCTGGCATGTAGGCCAGAGGTGCAGAAGCTGGGGGGTGGGGTGAGAGGATTCACCAGAGACAGAGTGGTGAGTAGAACAGATGGATTGACTGAAATACATTGCTGAGGGGAACAATGGATGAAATAAGAAAGATCTGCAGCGCCATGTGGGTCAGCTCCCCGGCCAGGGAATCGAACTAGTGCTGCAGATAGCTTTGTAGTGCTGAGACTTAACCCCTTGTGCCACCAGGGAGGCCCTGGTGTAGTTTTGTGGTATTTTTTTTTTAAAGATTTATTTATTTATGCATATAAGAACTGGGGTACATGGGCCTCCCTGGTGTCACAACAGGTTAAGCTCAGCGCTGTAAAGCTGTCCGTTGCCTCTGGAGGGCAGGTTCAATTCCCCGCAGGCCAGGGAAATACCCACATTGCATGGCAGACCTCTCCTGTCTCGCCCGCTGCTCCCTTCAGCAGTGTATTTCAGTTGATCTGCCTGGTCTGTTCCCCACTCTGTCTCTGGTGAATCCTCTCACCCTCCCACGCCTCTGGCCTGTACCCCAGTTCGTGTATAAATAAATAAATCTTTAAAAAAAAAAAAAAAGAACTGGAGTACTGTTGAGAGGTGTGCTGCGCCATGTGGGTAGCTGCCTGGCTGGGTATTGAACTGCGGACAGCTGCAGTGGCTGCGGACAGCTTCATAGGTTGCATCTTAATCCCTCGTGCCACAGGGAGACCCACCCGGTGTAGTTTTAAATGCATCTTTTTTATTCATCCTCTGGGTTTTGGCCATGCAACAATCTCTACCGATTTTTTTCTTCAGCTGTATTGTTCCAGTAGTGTTCCCTCTTTTCTACCTACTTCCCCCATCTCCTGAATGTTAAGTAGCACATGGTGTTCCTCAAGACCAAGATGCCTATTTCCTCAGTTGCTGGGAATGTTAGTGGTCAGCAGCTCTCAACTGAAGCCCTTTCCAGGAATTGTCCTCAGCTAGGGAGCTACTTCCAGCCAGGTCACACCACACCCTGGGACAGCTTGCACGGAAGATGGATAGATCCTGGGTGGCACCACCCTGAGGGGCTCTCCCCACATCAAAGACCCCTTCAGGGATCAGTTCCCAAGTGGTCAGCTAAGGACTTTGCTATGACTCATTCAGTTCAACTTCTCTATTCGATCCTACTTTCACTCCCATACAGTATTGATCCCAAGGATATTACCTAATATTTCCTGCTTGCAAATCTCTATCTCAGAGTTGGTTTTCCAGGGAATATGAACTAAACCAATTAGTCCCATGAGTGTGGTGTGAATCACTTCTGGGCAGTTGGCAGTGAGGCCCACAGGTGAAGCCCCGAGAGTCCCTGGCATTCTGTAGTTGTACAGCTGTTAAAATCATTAGCAATAGTGATGGAATGGGATGATTGGTATGTAATACCAGTGCAAGAATGCACTAGAAGATGCTATCTATTGGATGTTTTTTAAATGCAGGGAAAATAGCAATTTAAGAATTATTGTTAGTAGGCAAACTGCAGGATCCCCAAGCCTGCACACTCTAAGTGGCATCTACAGCATAGAGACAAGCATACTCCT